CTGGGTGGGAGTGGCTTGCCGGCCATGTGACTGGGTGGGAGTGGCTTGTCAGCCATGTGACCGAATGGGAGTGGCTTGGCAGTCATGTGACTGGGGGGGCATGGCCAACTTGTAAAATGTGGTGAAACTCACTTAACAACGCTCTTGCTTAGCAACCAAAATGTTGGCTCACAAACTCTGGCATTTGAAGCACACAAGTCTTAAAGCTGTTAAATTACAAGACCCTTGCACCCCTAACCCTTTAGAAAAAAAACCCCAGTTGTATTCAAACTTGACAGCTTAAAGACTTGTGGACTTCAACTCCCAGAATTCCTTCTCCAGTCATTTGGCTCAGGAACTCTGGCATTTGAAGTGTGCAAGTCTTAAAACTGTCAAGTTACAAGACCCTTGCACCCCTAACCCTTTAGAAAAAAACCCCAGGGGTGTTCAAACTTGGCAGCTTTAAGACTTGTGGACTTCAACTCCCAGAATTCCTCCTTTCGTTCTTCATCTTGATGATGTGCGGACGGGCAGGTGGAGGGAGCTGGAACCAGTTCTTAACAGCACTGTAGATTTGTGGAACCTCTTCTATAGAAGAGGTTAGAACTGGCAGGAACCAACTCCTGTCCCAAGGTCATATGATCACATTTTGTGACCTTCTGACCAGCAAAGTCAATAGGGAAGACAGATTCACATAACAACCATGTCATTAAATCAACAACTGCAGTGATTCATTTAACAATCGTGGCAACAAAGATTGTAAAATGAGGCAAAATTCACTTAACAAATGCCTCACTTAGCAACATAAATGTTGGGCTCAGTTTTGGTCCTAAGTCAAGGACTACCTGTACACAAGAGGATATGCACAGTAGCATTTTGTCCATATGTAATATTTGAGAGCTTGTGGAAGAAATTATTCAAAAACCTATAGTTTGCCTTTCAAGAAATAATATCTTGAGTAAGAAATAGATTCTTGTGGCATATTGGTTTGAATGAAATTTCTTTTCCTTTATTGAACTCCTTTCTATATGCACTGAACGATTAGCCAAATAAGGAAATTAAGAAAAAACTAGGCAGAATCACTAAAACTCAAAGAGTCCCAAAAAAAGAAAAGAAAGAGTGAAAAGTACTGAAAGGTAAGTAGCTATTCAATTCCTCAGAGGACACATCTGTTGCTAAAATAAAATACAAAATAAAACAAAGTGTCCTCACAACAATGTGACTGAATTTTTATTTTTATTTTTGCAAGAGAGTTCCTGTGAACACCATCTTGGTGCAAAAGCCTAAAGGAAGTATAAAAATTGCTGCAGTAATTCTATGCGACCAAGCTGGTCAAGATTTAGGTATTGAAAGGTAATAGAATAGCTATTATCTATCTATCTATCTATCTATCTATCTATCTATCTATCTATCTATCTATCTATCTATCTATNCCATGATCTGGGTTACTGAGAATTTCTATAGACCTGTGGTGGTAAATCTATGGTACGTGTGCCAGAAGCGGCATGCAGAGCCACCCTGTGCGGCTCGCTGGGACCCGCAGCCTCACTGGTCAGCTAGCCTTTATATGCGTGGGAGTGCTAAAACCTGGAAGAACAGCGTTCCGGCGTGTATGAGGATGCTGGCACCCAAACTTCTGGGGTTTCTATCGCACACACGTGCGATGACCAGCTGTTAGTTGGATGCCAGCCTGCACTGGAAACTGGAAGTTTGAACGCCAACATGTGCTTGCACACTGGGATGCTGC